CTGTGAATTCACAGAGAAGGATAGCCAAGAGGAGAATCTGGTCAGCTAAGGGCCTATCACTGAGGCAGAAATCAGGTGATACATCTCTTTCTACCTTAATGTACCTGGTTCATCACCATTTTTCACTCAAGGTCTGTTCTGTATCTTGCTCACATACCAGATCAGTAACACCAAATGGCTGTTATTTAATTTCTGACAGTTTAGCTATTCATCAGTGATTAGTTTTTTCTTGGGGTGTGATTCCTTTTTATTAGCTTCTTAGTGTGAGTTGAGTTCACAGTAGAAGCAGAGAAGATTAAAACCAAGCAATGTCACCTACTAATGATCAATCTCTAACTGATATTCTATTCAAAAATAAAGTAAAATAAAAGATTGATGCATGGGCTTAGAGACCACTTTGCTTTGAAATAGACTCTTTGGTCTTTGTGTCCAGAGGCACGGTCTTTAAACAAGGTAAACTTCAAAAGAAAAACAACGACAAAAATGTTAACTTAGAGTCTGAAAAGAAATAAGAAATAAATGCTTATTTTCTCAGACCTATGCCTTTACCTCTTGGTTCTTCAACTGAATCAGCTAAAACAAAAAGGTCAATTTAGCCTTCATTCTCTGCATATTGAGTGTTTTACAGGAAACTTGTTCCTATTTTAGAGACGTTTTCAGTTGAAAGCAAGGAGATCTAAGATCAAGAGATCAGTCACTGTCCCTTATTACTCAGAGGTGGTGATGGGTTTGAATTTGTATCAGATTTTATTAATATTATCATGTGAGAAGTGGTTTGACTCAGTGCTGTAAGAAATGAGTCTAGAACTGTGAGTTCTTAGTCTGTTCTACCACCTGTTCACCAGTTGGCCACAGGTTAGTTCCATTGTCTTGGCTCACTTTCTTCTCATCATGCTCATCACATGGGTTCAGTTGCTCGAACCTTGAAGAGTTATGCTGGGATGTCTTGGATACTGATGGAGCTGCAGAGCACCAGGCCTGTTTATCTCCCCTCACCTTCTTGTAATCTGAACAGAGAGAGACCAGCAAGCTGCACCAGCGGTAGAAGTGGGAATTTGTCTTTTGAGAGA